AGATGGGGCAATCTACTTCCGTAGTGATACTGCCTCGGAAACCCAAGGAGGGGTCGCTATGAGTCGGGTCCAACTCGACGGCACATAACAACAACAAGAACAAATTATATTTCAATAAAATGTATTTTTTTAAAAAAAGAATTAGCTGGAGAGCAACTGGGCAACTAGGGTTTATTCTTTGGGTTTTTGGTTTTTCATAGAGTTTTATGAGAAGTGACTGATCTTTATGTGTATTGTTTGTCAAATATATAAAATAAATTACAACTGACAGTAAACATTTAAAAAAAAAAAAAAAAAAGACAGCACTGACCATTACTTTAGATAGTTATTTGGGAAGATTTCTCTCAGGAAATGAATGAAAACTGAGACCTAAAGGATGAGAGAAATCAGCCATGGGAAGAGCACAAAGAAAGGGGAGGCAGGACATAGCATGTGCAAAACCACAAGGCAGACAGACGCTGGACAAGTCAATGTGGAGGCAGACTGGCAGGAGTAGGTGCTGTGAACAATGGAGAGGACAATAGTAAGTCTGGGAAGGGGGCACAGGCCAGAGCATGCAGACTCCATAGGTCAGAACAGAGTGGTGATTTTATACAAAGGGCAGTGGGAAGCTGTTGGATGGTTTTAAGCAGGGGAGTGACATGATCTTGTTTGTTTTATAGAGGGCTTCAAAATGGTTTGAAACGGTTCAGGTACAGCCAACTCAGTGAAACTGGAATAGACTCAAATTTTTAAAATTTGGGTGATCCAGAATGCTGACCAGAACAGGAAAAATTACAAGTTGAAGCCCTGGAATGGGACTCAGAAGAGGTATAGTGAGCCCTTTCAGGAACCTGTTGTAAGAGACTGGATTATTGCCAAGACTGCAGAAAGTGACAAAAAAAAAAAAAGAAAAGAAACTACCACATAGACAAAACTGCTTAAACTTCTTACCAGGCACTCTCAGATACAGACCTGAAGGTCAAGTTACTGTACGTCAACCTAGTTCAACTTGGTGCTCCTAAGTATTCATCTTGTAATGGCTCTTCTAGGCCGAGGCTAGATCTTTTCACTCCCAACGATTACACTCACTGATTAAGCCAGAAAGGCTAAGACAGTTTAGAGTTCTTGATGCTTTTGTCTTTGTCATGATTTCTAACTGAACAGCTTAAGTAACTGAGCATTCAGCATGCCTTCACCAGGCCAGCAGTCCTAGGCTTTTTCCCGTCTGCTTCCTGAGTATTGCGTATTAAATATTATAGATTCTGGATGTAGAAAGAGAACCCAACTTTGCTTTAGCTAACTCAGAAGACAGTTTCCACACAGTTACAGAATGACTGTGTACTTGTTTATTTACTTTTGATCATTGTGAGACTTGTATCTTAGAACCAGTAGACTGTAGAGTGAGACGGTAGAAATTAGTTCCTCCTTCACTAAAACTATCTGTGTTGGACTATATATAAAGCATATTTTATATAAGTTGGGAAAATGGTTTTTGGTCTATACCACCAACAGTGACATTAGTTGAGATTTTCCTCAGCTTATGCACACCTATATCCACAGTTAGGATTTAGGCATGTCATTGTCTCTCATTGCCACTTTCTGTTCTGGTGGTATATCATCATGGCTATTTTAATGAGAAATGAAAAGGAGTATCAGGTACTGCTAGTCTTATGCCATGTTACCAGAGGTTTAAATAATATTTAACAACACTTATCAGCCATAATCTTATTATGATGTGCCCATTATTATGATCAATAGCCATATATATATATATATATATATATATAAGAATATTCTTTTTTTTCCCAAAAACCAAACTCACTGCTGTCGAGTCAGATCTGACTCATAGCAACCCCTTCTTGGGTTTCTAAGACTGTATCACTACAGAAGTAGATCACCCCATCTTCCTTCTGAGGAGTGCCTGGTGGGTTTGAACCACCAGCCTTCTGGTTAGCAGTCAAATGCCCTAAGCACTACGCCACCACCAGAGCCCCTATTCTTTATTTAGGCCTCATATTATTATATATTTTTAATATCATACTTTGCCTAAAAAGAACTGTATCTTCTAGTAGAAATATAATATTATTCTATAATTATATAACATAAATAATATAACATTATATATATATATAATATAAATTATGTTTTGAAATTTTCTTTGAGGCAAAGCTTTTAAAAAGGAATAATGTGTTTAAAATTCAAACACTAACTATTAGATTTCTATCTTAAGCAGCTGAGCCTATTGATACTACAGTTGAAAGTGAAATTCCAAAAGAATCCAAAAAGGGCCTGGAAACTGAAAAATTACCTGAAACAGGTTAGATTATAAATTAAAAGTAGTTAATACATTGAAGTGCTCTTATTCTCTTATAAATAGTCTTATCCCTTATTTTAGCATAGTATCAACTTCCTACTTAATTTTTTCTGTACTGTATGCCAGTTGTGTGTTATATTTATTTAGCTTATTTCATTAAAAATGTATCTAACCAAATTTTGATACTATATTTTATTTTATATATTTTATTAATAGTGAGAAATGCCATATGAAATTCACATTAATTATCCTGTTAATTTGGCTTATTAATTATCTATTATTAATAGATAATAATTCATCTATAACCAATACAAGGAGAAAAACATAATTAGAATATGAATTTATGGAACGTATTTTGTTGCTTGGAATACTGTATTTCTTTCAAATATGATTAAAATATTATAAACTTATTTTTGACAAGAAGACTAAGAAAATAATATTTAAAACCTCTTTTTTTTTTTTTTTAACATTTACTCAAAAGTTATGCTGCCTGACTATCCAAAAGATGCTTATCCTGATGTTCCTGAAATGGAGCCACTTAAAGAGAAGATTAGACAGTTTACCATCTCCTGGAAGCAGCTGGAAGCAACACTCAATGATTTAACTTTAATTCAAATTTTAAACTTGGAGATTGCTGGCAAAACTCCAGAGGAACTACTTCAAAAAGTAGTAGAGACTATGGAAAGTAAGGGCTATAATCATAACATTTTTATTATCAGGAGCAGGTAATGTTATTAAAAGTGTTGTGAAACTTTAAAGACTTTCTTGATTGTTTATGAATTAAAACATTCAATAAATCCAGAGATGATATTTAAAATATCACACAATGGTCATAGCACAGCCACTGGCCAATCAGAGGAACCACTGGGCACAACTAGAATTGACCATAGTGGACAGCTGTCACAGAAAGAATTTTGAGGCCTATTCACATACATAAAGGAGCTCTGGTGACATAGTGGTTAAAGCATTCGGCTGCTAACAAACCCACCAGGCACTCCATGGGAGAAAGATGAAACAGTCTGTTTCCATAAAGATTTATAGCCTTAGAAACCCTATGGGGCAGTTCTACTCTGTCCTAAAGGATAGTAGCTATGTGTCAGAATCAATTCAGTGGCAGTGGATTTGGTTTTGGTTATTTACATACATACCAAGAGTTTAGTAATTACAATTAATTGTCCTAGCTTTTGACAACAGTAATACGTTAACATCCTTTTATTATAAAAATATATTCCCAAACGTTTTTGGTTGTTTTTGTTTGTGTGTGTGTTCTTTTACAGAACCTTTTAAGTACACTGGGTGGGATTTAGGTATTGAAGATTATGATGAAGAAACTGAAGACTATCAGGCGGAAGCAGAAGTTGATGAGGAGCTGGAAGAAGAAGAGGAGGAAGAGGAAGAGGTACGATTCTTTTATTTCTCATTCTCATTTGGAAATCACACAGAATATGTATATCCAGAGCGGGAACTATCACTTTTAGACCCAAGTGAACAAACAGGTGTCCTCAATTTCATAAATAACCGCTTTCATACATAACTTCTTTGTAAGAACCAACAATGAACAGTATGATCAATGAAGGATGCCATCTGAGGAGCTGACATTTGAGGTGAGACAAATAGGCTGAAAAGGATACGGACAAGGATCATTCCACTGCAAAGGCCAGAGATGGGCACACGCTCAGCGCAGCCAAGAAGGAAATTGAATGTGGCTCCACACATCCTCCCACCCCAGTTTCACTTGTACATAGATAGTGTATTGTACCCATAAAGAGAGAAAAGGGATTTTTTTGTGTGTGAAAAAATATATAGATTTTAGAAAAATTAAAATGTATAAATTTAACAGAAGTGAGTGTTTTATAGGAGCTCTGGTGGCATAGTGCCTGAGGCATTTGACTACTAACCAGAAAGCTGGCGGTTCAAACCCACCAGCCACTCCTCTTAAGGAAGATTGGGCTATCTACTTCCATAGAGATACCACCTCAGAAGAAACCCAAGAAGGGGTTGCTATGAGTTGGATCCGACTCAACAGCAGTGAGTTTGGTTTTTTGGTTTTGGATGTTTTATATAAAATACAGCAATGTTGTCTTTGAGGGGCCACTTGCATAGTAGTGTGCAGGAGTCTCACACAGGAACAACCCCTGGTGATGCCCCATTCTTACTCTCTTAGCATCAGAATTTTGATAGCCATTCTCATTGGATATTCATCCAGTTCAGGCATCTATCTATAATAAAACATGAAATAGTTCTTTTAATCCTAAGCTTTATAAATTAAAAAAAAGTGTTACATAAACATATACTCATATGTTGCTTAACATAAACCCAAATATTTATGTGCCAGATTACAAATGCTATGCAGTGTAATTCTGATGAGAGCTTTCAATACTTGAGCCAGGGCGGCTGAAGGAAGTGATGTTACCTTACTTCTAGTCACATTCTCTTCTGTCATCCTCCTTCTGCCGTGTCTGCTGATCCTCTATGTCTCCCTCTCTTTTGTTTCCTGCATCCAAAAGAAGGGCTTCTTTCTTTTATCTGTAGAAAAATCTCAGTCTGTCTATAACATGCCAAACTTACATTTTAAGTATGGTCTTCACTGACAATGTAATGACTGTTTCTTACTTCCTCTCTTCCTAGTAGGAAACTACAACACTATTCTTAAGGCCCTGCTTGAACAATTTCTCTTAGAAAGATAAGCACGAGGCTGGTCCCCATGAGGCGGAGGTCAAAGATGTCCCAAATGTCCAAACTACCACGCCACTCCATCATTTCAGACATTGACTCCTCCTCCTCCTCCCAGTAATTTCCCCAGTCTTAGGGTTCTGTATTTCACTGTAATGCCTCACAGAACTCACAGACACCCAAGGTTTCGTCTCACGTAGTAGTGGTGGAGGCTGGCAGGCTGGCGAGTCCCGGGTCTGTGAGTGGGTCTGGTGGATCCTCCCAACCCTCGGGGTTTGATGAACCTCAATCAGCAGATCAGATGACGGCTGCTGTCCCAAATCCAGGGGTGAGGTGAGGATGATCCAAGACACAAAGCCGGAGAAGAGGAGAGGGAATCTTCCCAGGAGATTCATAGGTATACCCTCAGGGAAGCGAAGGGTGGTGTTTTGAATTATACCCTCCAGCAAGGCAGGACTCAAGATACATTCCACCTGTGTTGCCCTAACAGCATTAACCTAAATCCCATCACAGAGTCGATTGCCAGTCATTATAGGGAATGACTACTACCAGCTGCCCAGCCAAGTTGATGCCTGACCTTAACTACCACACCACCCCAAATAGGCATGGATAATGGGATTTACAAAACACCACAGAATGGAGGACAATGGCTAGAAGGGCCACATCAAGCAATTCACTGCAGGCCCTAATAAATATCTTAAATTAAAAGGCTGGACAGAAGACCTATTTCAAAGTATAAGAACAACCATGTAAAAAAAGACAGAAAATTTGAGAGAAAAGATATTTGGAGGATAGACCCAAGAGACCTAGCCAGTGATAGGTGTTATGGAGGAGAAAAAGGAAGAGATGGAAGAGAGGCAAGAATTAATTTCCCTGAGACTCAGAGACATAACCTACAGATTGAAGGGCACACCCAAACCAGGCAGGATTGATGAAAAAAGACAAACGCTTAGTCCTGGGCAAAAGGAGTATGACTCCTGAACTTTGAGAAGAAAGAAAATAGTTCAAGTATCCACATAGAAGATAACACTTCCTCATTGCTACAATAAACTAGAGCCCTGGTGGCACAGTGGTTAAAGAACTTGACTATGAGCCAGAAGTTGGTGGTTCAAACCCATCAGCTACTCCATGAGAGAAAGATGTGGCAGTCTGCTCCTATAAAGCAGATGCCTTGGAAACCCTGTGGGGCAGCTCTACCTGTCCTATAAGTCACTGGAAGTCAGAATTGACTCAGTGACAGTGGGTTTATAAACACTTGAACATTTAAAAATGTGTATTCTTACATCATTTTTCTAATTGCTAGTGAGTTAAATAAGTAAGAAAAAATAAATTTACAGGCTACTGAAAAATGAACAATAATATAAAAAATCACACATAAAAGCATTGTGGTATAGCAGAAATAGAAATTAGTGTCACCAGATAAAATACACAATGCCCAGTTAAATTTGATTTCAGATAAATGTGTTTGTGCATGAGATGTGCTTATATTGAAAATTTGTTATCTGAAATTCAAATTAAATTGGATGTCTATATTTTTATTTACTAAGTCTGGCAACCCTACTTTAATAAATAATTGTTGTTGTTGTTATGTGCCGTCGAGTCGGCCCCGACTCATGGCGACCCCTCCTTGGGTTTCCGAGGCAGTATCACTACGGAAGTAGGATTGCCCAACCTTCCTTCCGAGGAGTGGCTGGTGGGTTTGAACCGCCAGCTTTCTGGTTAGCAGTCAAGTGCTTTAGCCACTATGCTACCAGAGCTCCTAATAAATAATTAGGAAACAGGAAATATTGGGAAAAAATAACAAAGCATTCAACTCAAGAACCTGGAAAGAAAAGCACAACAAAAGAAACCAAAAGAAAGATGAAGATTAAAGGCAAAAGTTAATAAAATAGGAAAATAAGACAATATAAAAACAGTAGACCTAATTACAAAAAATGTAAGGTTAGTTCATTGACAGGAGTAATAAAATGTACAAATTTCTAGCAAGCTGAGTCATGTAAAAAGAAGTAATAAACATGTGGAATGAAATGGGTATATAGTTAGATAAAAACAAAACAGTTGTTTTAATTGTGGAAGCTGTATGTTAAATACATTTGAAATTCAAGATGAAAAGAATTTTACCCAAAATAAAACAACTACTAAAATTTGCTTAGGAAGAAAGATAAAAGCTGAACAAACAAAAATAATATTGTTTATAGGTCATTTCTAATATACTTTCTTTGATTAGATAGTTCCTGTGTTATGTATGAGGAGCTCTGATGGTGTAGTAGTTAAAGCAGTCCATTACTAACCAAAAGGTAGGTGATTTGAACCCACCAGCCGCTGTACAGGAGAATGATGAGGCCGTCTGCTTCCGTAAAGATTAACAGCCTCGGAAACCCTATGGGGTAGTTCTACTCTGTCCTAAAAGGGGTCACTATGAGTTGGAATCAACTCGATAGCAGTGGGTTTTTTTTGTTTGTTTGTTTGTTATTTTGAGTGGATATTGCTTACACTCTTCCATATCATTGAGAAAGAAATAGACTTCCCAGTCATTTGAAGCTTGCATAACCCTAATGCAAAAATTGAACAAGGCAGGCCCAAGAAAAGTATAGATTAGTCTCATTTTTGCACCTTTACAGAAAATGTTCCTTATGTCTTATTTGGTGAAAAAGAAGCATGTTATAGAACAATTATGTAAAGTATTATTCCTTTTTTATTTTTTTAAATACTGTATTTGTGCTTACAGGAGCTCTGGGAGCATAGTGCCTAAGGCACTTGACTGCTAACCAGAAGGCTGGCGGTTCAAACCCACCAGCCACTCCTCGGAAGTAAGATGGGGCAATCTACTTCTGTAGTGATACTGTCTCAGAAACCCAAGGAGGGATCACTATGAGTTGGGTCCGACTCGACGGCACATAACAACAACATTTGTGCTTAATATATGTCTAATTTTACATCTGTCTTGGGGAAAAAAGGGTCTAGAGTGATACATTATTAAGAGTATTAATATAGTGTTGGAAGGAAAAAGATGAGGCTTTTAATCTTTACACATTGTGATGTATTTTGAATACTTTTACAATAAGCACATTTAAACTAATAGGAAACAAAGCGAATCCTGAGACCTCTCCCATTTAGTTTAAAAAGTTGGGACCTTGGTTTAGCTTTTATTTTCCTAGGTGTGCTTACTGCTGGGTGCCATCTTGTCAGTTCTGACTCATAGCGACTCTGTGTGACGAGTAGAACTGCCCCATAGAGTTTTCTTGGCTGTAATGTTTACAGTAGCAGATGGCCAGGTCTTTCTCCCACAGAGCTGCTGGGAGATTCAAACTGCCAACCTTCCAGTTAGTGGCTGAGCATTTAGCCTTTGAGCCACCAGGGCTTCTTATTTTCCTGGGAATACTATTTTTCACAGTGACTCTGCACCAGCAGCACCTCCTGAGGCTTTTCATTCCACCTGTGTCTATAGAGCGCTAAGCATTGTTTAATTCTTAGTGATGTTTAGAAAAAGCAAGAATCATGGGATGTGAATTTAGAGGGATATGAAAATTGATTTTTTTAATATAATCAAAATCAAATAACCCATCCACTGCCATTGAGTTAATTCAGGACCTTTGAGTAGAACTGCCACATCATATCGAAACCAAACCAAACTCACTGCTGTGGAGTTGGATCTGACTCATAGCGACCCCCCCTTGGGTTTCCAAGGCAGTAGCCATACAGAAGTAGATTGCCCGATCTTCCTTCCGAGGAGTGGCTGATGGGTTTGAACCACAGCCTTCTGGTTAGCAGTCAAATGCCTTAGGCACTGTGGCACCAGAGCTCCTTAAAATTGTATAAAGACTGCCGTTTTGTGGATTATTTTAAATTTGTGTTACTATGGATTAAATGTTGCTCAAGATGAATTATTTTTTTAATTTCCTCTTTGGTATTGCGTCAAATTACTGCTTAATAATGGTCTATAAACTTTGAATATATTTCTAGAATGAAGATAAAATTAAAGAAAAGAGGAGGCATTTGGGAGATACAAAGCACTTTTGTCCAGTGGTTCTTAAAGAAAACTTCATCCTACAACCAGGCAACTTAGAAGATGCAGTTAAATATCGAGAAAAGATCTACTATTTTTCAAGTGTTGAGGCTAAAGAAAAGTTTTTGGAGCATCCTGAGAAGTATGTGGCTCATGACGAACCCTTAAAGGTAATAGCAATATTCTTGTCCTAAATTATCATTCCTTACTACCAACCTCCATTGTTGGAGATCGGTAGTGTTGCCAATCTGATATAACAATGAAGTGTCTCAAAGAACAACAATTTTGGAATATAACATAAAAATAAGTGTCTATTTTGATTTCTACAGTAATACTTCAATATGTATCTTTTTATCTGGAATAAAAAGACAAAGATGAATTTATTGCTTACTATATTAGGAGTTCTGGTCGTGTAGTGCCTAAGGTGTTTGACTGCTAACAAGAAGGCTGGTGGTTCAAACCCACCAACCACTCCTCAGAAGGAAGGTTGGGCAGTCTACTTCCATAGTGATACCACTTCAGAAACCCAAGGAGGGGTCACTATGAGTCGGATTCAACTCCATGGCAGTGAGTTTGAGTTTTGGAGAGTTTTTTGGTATATTAAGAAACAGGAGCTCTGGTGGCGTAGTGCCTAAGGCATTTGCCTGCTAACCAGAAGGCTGGCAGTTCAAACCCACCAACCACTCCTTGGAAGGAAGGTTGGGCAATCTACTTCCGTAGTGATACCACCTCAGAAACCCAAGGAGGGGTTGCTGTGAGTTGGATCCGACTCACCGGCAGTGAGTTTGGTTTGGTTTATATTGAGAGACAGAATCCCTTATTGGTGCAGATGATTAGCACACTTAATATGCTTTTCTTGCTAACTCAAAAATTGGAAGTTCAAGTCCATCCAGAGGCCCCTTTAAAGAAAGACCTGGCAGTTTATTTAAAAAAAAAAAAAAATCAGCCACTAAGACTCTATAAGCACAGTTCTACTCTAACACTCATGAGATTGCTACGAGTCAGAGGTGACTGGAGGGCAATTGTTTTACTGGTTTATACTAAGAGAACAAGGTTTTGTTCTGTTATACATAAGGTCACTGCTAAAGGGACAAGGAGGCCACATCTCCTGACCTCCTCTAACCCCACAAGAGGAAGACAGGATCACCATAAGTAACCCAAGGCCTATTCCTGCAAGGCCAGACATGCTGCCTCCTTCCAGCCCTTTCACCAACCATTCCTCCCAAAGCACCCACCACCTCTCTCCTGGACTCCGTAATTCACTGCAGTGGCCACACAGAACTCACAGATTATGGGGTTTATTAGGGAAGCACCAAGCTACAATTCAAGTTCAGGAAAGACACTCAGTCTCTTTCCCAGCCTGCCAACTCTCAGCCAACACTTTCACAGTCTCTCTCCCAGCAGTGCGTGTCCCTCGGTGTCTCAATCAGCAATGCGTGTCTCTTGAGTCTCTTTCCCAGCAGCACATGTCTCTTTCATGAGAGCTTGTCTCTTTCAGCAGAACATCCTTCTCAGCCAGCAGTCAGAGAGAAACCTCTTCTGCCTCTAGAAAGCCTCCTTTTGAGCCTGGCAGAATGGCCAAACTAACCAATCATAACATCAGATTTCTAAGCATCTGAGAGAGAGCAAACTTCCAGAACATTACTGTGTGCTGCTCCCAACAGAAATACCCCAGGTGGATGATTTTAACAATCACAAGCTACTCAGTTTTTCACAGCAAATTCCACTATGGAGTTTACAAAGACTTATGGCTAAAAAAGCCATACCAGATAATTTACTACACCACAGTCACCATGAATCAGAGCTTACTGAACATCAACCAACAACAAAGGCTGGTATGAGCACTGTCTCTGAGCACGGCAGTCAGCTGATTTTCCACAGGGTTTTTGGGAAGTGTGAAATTCAGGAACTGGTGAGCTTTCAGAGGCCTAAGTGGTTTGACATCATCTGTAGAAGTCTGATCAGGTGAGACTACTGATTGACTGGGTCACACTCAGAGGCATGTTCATTGGAGTGAGTCTGTCTCTGACTGGCTGACTTTCAGAAGCAAGAGGCTGACACTGATTGGTTCAATTACAAAAAAAAAAAAAAAAAAGTGTCCTCTGAACTAAATTGTCAATTAAATGGGCTTACAACTGACTGCCATGAAAATAATCGGTCTTTTCCTCAATTTGTGGGAACATTTTTATTCTTACTTATTTATCTACCATTGGAACTTATTTTTTTCTACCTTCTTTAAAAGAAATATTTATCAAGAACACATTGTAGCAGTATTTTATTCATTTTTAAAAATAAAGCACAACACATAATTCTACCAGCTTTGGACAACAGTTTTTATTTTTATGTTTTACTTTCCAGTTCTCTTCCACATGGATATATTTTTTTCCTAGTGTATATAATGTTCTGTGATCTGCTTTTCACTTAATATTACATCATAGAAATGTTTTTGTATTTCTACATAGATTTCTTAATACCTAATCATTTTGATCATCAAAATGATTTTAACATCAAATTCATTTTTAGACATTTTTTCACATTATTTTGTGTAGTATTTTCCCATGGTAGATATGAAATAGTACTTAAGAAATCTTTGGGAATAGCATTCTTGTTTCTTTTGAATTATTTTGTTAATATAGTTCTCTGGGATGGGAGTACAAAATCAAACTATAGAAATCACAATAAGTTGCCATATTACTTTACATAATACCCATGACTTCTTAAGCATAACATACAGAACATGATTTAAATTCTTCTGGATAATTTGGGTCGTTCTCATGAACCTCAGTTTTTATATAACGCCCACGGGGACTGTTGCAGCATGTGAGTGGTTGGGCTGTCACTAACAATCCCCAGTCTACTGGTGGTGGGGGCCATGAAGGGCTGTGGCCATTTGTCTTCTTTTGTCACTTTCAGGTGTCATTTTCTCTCCTTCTGAGTCATTTTGCTGCTTGTGCTCTATTTGTCTTTTTTACTCAAATTCTTGTGGGTAACATCCCGAAAGCCTGATTGTGACTCCACAGTTCCCCTGCAAAGCATTTAGTGCGTGGAGTTAGTCACGGACGTTTTCTTCCATGTTTAGCTACCATAATGCAGCAGTCTTCCAGACAGATCAGGTTGCCCGAGAGTTAACCTGTGTTACTCCAGCAGTTTTACCACTGAGCAATTTAAAAGTACTGTGTGAGGCTGCGGCTGCATAATTTCATACTGGTTCCAGTTTTTATGTTTTTGTTTGTTTGTTTGTTTTTCCCATTGCTCAATTTTTCATTGTTTATAATACTTGCATGTGTTAATTTATGAGGAAATCAAGTCTCCCCTCTCCACTGAAGTCCCAACTCAGAGACAATATCCTTAACATTTCTATTTTTAATTCTTCAGTGGTTGTCTCCCATACTAGAATGATACGCTTATCTCTCCATTTCCTGATATATTGACTTTAATCATTAGCAACTGACTTTCGGAGATGACAAGTGAAGATTTAGTTCTTACACTACCTCCTTTCCTAGAGATTTATATCTATGTTATTTTTCATTCCATTGTTGGCAATCTTTATAACTTTAAGGAACATTCTCAGTTTTCCATTCTTTTTATATTTTTTGTTAAGTGTGTCTTTACTCTCCTCTTAGCAAAATGAGATATGAGCCACCCCTGCCCCCTTTTCCTACCTCTCCTTCTCCATTAATGTATTCTGTCTTCTATCTTTGGTGTTTATACTTTCATACATCCTGGTTGTTAACATTTGTATGCTGTCCAAGAGCCAATGAAGTCTATGCTTTGCTCCTACATTGACTCAAGAATGTGAAAACCAATAAACTAATTTTCATATGCAAAATTTCAGGCCAAGTTGTATGTTAGTATTTCATTTCTTTATAGTTGAATAACATTACTGCTGGACAATAAAATGAAAATATATCTTCTTGCAATTTCTTATTGCAATTTTCTTTCTTATATTCTTGCCTTTATCAATTTCTTAAGTTCTCCTAAGCTTTCAAACATACTTTATGATTGTCGATTCCCTTTGCTGCCAGAGACCTCCATCCAGAGTCTTCCATCCTCCTGCTAATGACCATCCTGACAACCCCCTTCACCATACCTTCAATTTGACTCCCTGAATCCAGGATGATATAGAACTCTCTTAATTGCAATTGGAGGAGCTCTGGTAGCATAGTGCCTAAGGCACTTGACTCTAACCAGAAGGCTGGTGGTTCAAACCCACCATCCACTCCTCGGAAGGAAGATGGGGCAATCTACTTCCGTAGTGATACTGCCTCAGCAACCCAAGGAGGGGTCGCTGTGAGTCAGGGCCACCTCGATGGCACATAACAACAACAGCAATTGCAATTGATGGATGGATGGAAGGAAGAAAGTTTACCACAAACTGGCTTAACTAAAAGGTACTGGCTTTAGATGTGGCTTCTTGCCTACTATCAAGTGTCAAGTTTGTCACCAGAACCCACTTTCTCTCTTTCTCTCTCTCCATTTCTCACTTCTGCGTTCTCTGCATATGTATTCTTAGGGAGTTTCCCCCTTGTGGGAAAATGGCAGCAAGAGTTCTAAATCTTAAATCCTTTTGATTTCAAAAGAAGCAAAAAAGGACCTGATTTGTTTTTCCTCAAAACCTTCAGCAAAAGTTTCACTGAACCAATCACAGTGGCCAAAAGAATGTGATGCATCCATTGACTTAAGTTTTGTAGTGTGCCCAATTCTTGAACTAATGATGGAATCAATTCCACTGATGATCCTCACATAAAGTGAAGAGTAGCCTCCCAGAGCTCTATCCAGATATGGCTAACAGAAGAATGGTGAACACATGGGAGTAAAATCCATAGTTCTTTACATCATGTTTTCCTTTTTTTCCCACCATTGTTTTGCTGAAACACATCCTCAACTGTCTTCATATCTGAAAATGTCCTTATTTGGTTCTCATGTATGACTGATAATTTTTCTGTCCATAGATTTCTAGGTTAAAAATCATGTTCCTTTCAGAATATCATGGATTTATCTTTCCCTTGTGTATATTTTCCTGATATACCTTCTCCCTACATCTTTAAACTCTTCTCTGAACATTTTCTTTACAAGGACAGGAGGTAATAAGGTTATTCTTGTTGCTTCTCTCTGCTTTTGCAATTCGTAACTTCTTCCTTTCCCGGAATTTCAATTCCTTTGAAGTGCA